CCCTGCTCACTAGAGCTGATTGATTCATTTTCATGAACTTTGCAAGCCCGTTGATGTCACCTCGGTAATTTGAAATTGCCCATGATGGGAGTGTTTACACCACAAAATAGGCAGATGCTAAAACTTTGGGCTTTTACTCTCCCCAGAAAGCCAGTTGTTAAACATTTTTCGTTATATTCCTGACCAAAGGGGTGGGTAAATATCCTAATGGTGAAGTGGAAAGTTTGGAAAGGTAGGAACACATTAAAAGGCAGGACTCAAAATGAAGGAAAAAGTAGCAAATTAGTGCATGAAATTCCAGGCAACATATGCCCTAGGAGGCTAGTTTATTATGTAGGAATGATGCTCCTTTTTTTCCTCATAGAGGTGGTTGTCATGACATTTTGACCTAGGACATTTTTATTTTATTTTATTTTATTTTATTTATTGTTCCCTTTTTTTCCTCATAGAGGTGGTTGTAATGACATTTTGACCTAGGACATTTTTATTTTTTTATTTTATTTTATTTTATTTTATTTTATTTTATTTTATTTTATTTTATTTTATTTTATTTTATTTTATTTTATTTTATTTTATTTTATTTATTGTGGTAAGAACACTTAGCATTAGATCTACCCTCTTTAAAAGGACATATTTATGTAGCCATTTGGACTTTGTGTATGTTCTTATTCTTTGCTCTATTAACGACATTGGCTATTGGTTAACCAAACAAAAAATATTAATAAAGAGGCTGTGGGGACAGGACTCTCTGGAGGAGTGGGTGGCCTCTTTTGGATACACCTGCATGTCTTTCACCATCTGCTCCAAACGCCTGCGGCTGCAGATCAGCAGGGGTGTCCTGGGAGCTCTCCCTGGAAAAGGAGGAAAGGGTCAGAGCAGAACCCTCAGGTGGCCATGAGGGTGGGGGTTCCACGGGAGAGAGTCAGGCCAGGTCTGATTCTCATCCCTGCTATAAACTACCCAGCCCTGGCACGTCAGTATCCTGGGCCTCAGTTTCCCCATCTGTAAAGGGAGGAGGTTTAGACTCAATTTAAGCCTTTGCTGCCCGATACAGCAGCCACCAGCCACATGTGGCTGCTGAGCACTAGAAATGTGGCCAGTCTGAACTGAGATGTGCTCAGTGTAAAATACACCCTGGATAATAAACTATTCCTAGAGTCTCTCATTAAATTAACCACCTGGCCTTTCGCCATCATGGCCAGGAAGCCTTGGAAAAGAAAGCTCTAAACTCAAGTGCTCACGGATCGACAAGCAGACCCTGAGGAAGAAGTGCGTAGCTTCCTGTCCAGGTTGTCCTTTGGGTCCAAAAAGCCAATACGGCTTATGAAGCGTCTTCATTGTAGGCCTGAAGTCACATGTGCAGGGGGTGACCACTTATCATCTGGAGCTTTCAAGTGAGGGAGTTGGAAATGACACACACTTCTGAAATGCCAAAAGAGGGTGCTTTGAAGGTAACCCCCCCTTCCTTATAAACCCCGTTCCTGATGGGCCGAGGGCACCACCCTGAGGCCGGCGCCATGCTCAGGAGAAGCTGCCACTCAGGGAGGAATAGGGACGTCTGCTGGGATGTGGAAGAGGGACCACTTCCGTGCCAAGGGCAGAATGAGGGCATTGGGCGGTAAGAGAAGAGAGGCAGTTTTCCATCCAAGAAAAGAAGGAATTTCTAGCCGGCAGAACTGCCCACCTATTGCTCAGGGCTGTGTTCACTGCCCTCGGTGGCAGTGTCCACCCCTCGGTACCTGGGCACCACTGAGCTGCTGCCACATGGATGAGGTGAGTGTCTCTGAGACACCAGAAGTTCAAGGAGGGAAGGGATGAACCTCCACCAGAATTAGCCCCATTTACAGGCCAATCCTGTCAACAGCAGACATGCACGTTTCACCTCTGAGCACTTTTCTTAAAAAAAGAAAAAAGAATACTGGGGATGGAATGGGGTGGGGAGGAGGGGGTGAATAGGGGGGAAAAGAGGACATCTGTAATAACTTTCAACTATAAAGATAATTTTTTAAAAAAGAGTAGAGAAGCAGATTGCACCTCTAAGAAGCGTACATTCCAACCGAAATTACTATTCTTGATTATTCTTGGAGAAATCCAGGTGCTGAGCATGTTCCTAATTCTTTTTAAAAACACAGCTATTGAGTGAGGGGACTGGGAGTACAGTTCTTTGCCTCTGATTTCTTACTTCCCACAAATTAGTTTCTCTTTTGATTGAAGAGTTTTCATGATCTGTTTTTGTTTTTCTTTTAATTAAAAAAAAAAGTTTGAGAATCAGTGCTGGGTAGCGATGCAAGCTACTTAAAAAAAGAAAAATGTAAAAATTCATATTACTTGAATTGTCAAACCAGAGCCTGGAATAGAGTTTTTCTGTCCAACTTCTAAAAGCTGTGGTAATACATAGAACATTATGAAAATATTCAGAGACATGCCCTGGATCCAGACACAGAGCCGCCCCACTTGCTTCTACCTCTTAGTAAAGACAAAAAAACATTTAAGAAGGAAGACTTGCCGTCACCAGCGAGAAGGTGAAGGGTATTTCTTGGGATTGGCCTCGACCTGACAGGTCCCCTGGGGTGAGTCACTTTCTCCTACTCCAGTAATTTGGCTGTAATGTAATTATAATAACGAGATCTTGTTTACTAAGAACCGAAGTTCACTTTGTCTTGATAGAAAGAAGGAAAAAGGTGGTGATGAGAAAGCTTTTGTGGCACCTCTGTTGGAGGTGACTTGAATAAGCTGCATTTGTTTTAAATTGAACTTGGGAGTGGTGGATGCCAGTGTAAGTTAGGGCTGCTTCTCCCGGGGGTTTGCACTTGTGATCTAGGGCAAATAAAATAGGAAGGGTATAGTTGGACCAAATAAATCAGGGTGGAGGGGAGGGAAGGGGAGAGGAAGGAAGGATGAAGACACAACTCAGACCCTCTATCTCTCCAAGATCTGGCCAGTGGCCAGGAAGAGCAAAGGCTGGAAGAGTGCCCGCAACTCAACTCAGCTCCATTGATCAGCGAACTGGAAAGTGGGCACCCGGTGTTCCTAGCCCCGCCCGCCAGCCTGCAGCCAAGGGCCAGGCAGCAGAGCCTGGGCGCCTGTCTTTGGGGGGCTCTCTGTAGAATGGGCTGGAGCGGCAGCCTCGGACGGTCTTGCTTAGCGGCAGTGAGGGCCGCCTGGAGCCTGGCCAGGTGACTCAGCGAGTCCTTTATGCTGAGATTTCAGGACAGACCTTCACCTCAGCAGTAGCTCTTGGGGCACCTGCAGAGCCACAGCGAGGTCGCAGACGGCAGAGCCTGGTGTTTCTGGAGAGGGAGGTATAATCACTTCCTGCCTTTGTCCTTTAGCAACTGAAGCAACCAGCTCGTTTACATTCCTTCAGTGGTGTTACTGAAGAGGCTTGGCAGCTTCAAAATGTTTGCAGTGTCCTTTAGTCCCATTAGGACTTTTTTGTTTTTTCTTTGCTAGCTTTTAGCCAGCATCTGGAACGACCCATTGGATGCATTGGGCTGATGTGTCAAGAATCCGCTTTACCACTTCAGGGAACCCAGGAAAGCAGCCGCTCCCACCGCTAACTCGGGAGGAATTTTGCAGCCTCTCGAACTATGGTACTCTTTTTGTTTCTTAGTCCGGCCTGATACTGGGGTGGTTTTAGGATGAAACTACTGGTGTAAACCCTGGGAGAGCCGGGGAGGGGGGCGGGGGGGAGGAGTAACCCCGAATGGGAAGAAGTAATAGTTTTAAATTCTATTAAATTTCTGTCGTATTGAGCCAAGATGTCAGAGGTTATGGTTTGGGAAGGAAACTATTGCTACAACAGGAAAGACGCTAATCCAGAATGTCTTCGGGGCTTTTAAGAACTTTCTTTTGAACAATTAGAATATTCTGTGATGTGTAGTCCACTTGGATTTCCTTCTGTGGGAAGGACCTACCGTGGCACTAGGCAGCGTGTTCTTATCACCTGCTGGCATCTCCATTCTGGCATAGCCTGGGGAGGAAGGGGTGGATGTGACCTTCATCTTCTTAAAGAAGCGTGATGGATCCGCCTGCCGCACGCTCGCGGAGGCCAGAGTGAAGGTTTCATTGAGGACCACCGAAGCTGAAGTGCACGCCCGCGTTCTTCGGGCAGCTTACTGAACTATAAACGTCTGGAATCCAAGGTGCTCCGTAGCTATAGGCAAAATCCCCTGCCTGCCTGGCGCAGCAGAAAGGGCTTGCATTCAGGAAATTTCTGAACAGAACAGAGAGACGCAGGTCTGGCTGAGGAATGAAGTCTTGGCTGTGGCGGAGCCGTTCCTTAACTGCTGTGCCCTGTCAGATCTCTTGCTGAGAAAACGTCTGAAAGGAAAGGAATTACAGACATTCGGCCTGGTTTCAAGAAGTGTACTTTCGTGAGTGTGTGCTTCTGGGTTGAAGCAGTTATTGCGCGGTCCCCTTTCCGCTCTTAGCTCTGCACACGGCACTGTTTTCCTTCTGGAGTCGCTCCGGTCTGTGGACTTGGTTAATCAGTGATGGACTTCAAAGGTCGTGGGGCCGGGGCTCCAGTAAATGGCTGAGCCTGAGGACCTGAACCTCTGCAGTCAGCAGAAGCGCACCACCGGCTAAGGAGGTGTTTGGAAACCGGCCTGCTTCCAGCGCGATTGCAAGTGGAAAGAAACACAGGAAAGACACCTCCGAACCTTTAAAGTGACCGAGCGGTGGAGAACTGACTAAAATAGGTGAACGTTCTGGAAGGTAGGGTGGGTGCGCACTGCATTCTTAGTTTTTACTGGATGGAGTCCCACAGGTGGCAGCCCACTCCGGATGTGGACGGAGCGGCCAGGCGTGGGGCTGACACGAGCCTCTCTCCGAAGAGCATCGCTCACTCGCAGGGACGCCGTTCTCTGCAAAGGAATTCTGCTCTTCAGCTTGTTGAAATGTCCCCTTGGTGCTGCTGGCTCTCCGTTCCCCAGCTAATAATGAAATAGCCTCAGCAAACGGGCAGCACGACCATGGCTTCCGTGTCTCCCACTCCATCCCCATGGGTGAACCCCTTTTTATAGCTTAATGTCGCAAGAGATGTTTTCACTGAAAACACTCTTCCTTTATGGCCCTCCACCTGTGGCTCGTGCTTAGGACCAGCTACACCTCGTGTATGTGGTGGTGAGCGGGCAGGGAGGGCGGCTTTATAATTGCTGCAGCTCCAGCCGTGCTGGGCAAGGACGATTTGGGGACGCTCCCCGGGTCTCAATGCACACTGGCAGGCATGGGGCCAGCTGCCTGGGTGTGTGTGTGTTACTTACAAGTGGACATTGAAGGCTTTGTGGCCGAGAGGAAAGAGTATTGGGTTTTAATGCTCAGATAAGGGAAATTCCAAGCTCAGATAGCCAGGGATATGAATCAGAATCCTATGACGCCTTTAAATTTCCCTCCACGGTCCAAAGGGCGCCCCCACCTGAGGTTATCATGATGCTGTTGACTTTTGTTGCTTACACAAGTTGACCTTGGTAAACAGGGACAGGGAATTTCATCCCGATCTTTGATGTCTATGGAGAAAATAGAAGGACTTATTCCCAGTGCCCTTGTGTTGACCTTGCCTTGGGGAGAGGGTTAGTAGAACTAAGGATGACTTTATCCCATCCCAGTAGGGATTCTTGGGACGTGCACAGCCTCGTTCTTCCGCTGTCCGTCTGTGATCAGCCACATGAAGTCCATGAGCTTCGGGGCAGAGTACAGTGACATCTAATATCGGTGCCTTCGGGACTTGTGCGTGAGGTCAAGCAAACACAAAGCCATCATTATGCGTTCTGTAGTCCCAGAGACCTCCTGCGTCAGCTGGAAAAGGGGGAGGTGGGGCAGTGAGGTGGGGCCGAGTCTAGGATCTGTGCTGTCGGAGGCAGGAAACCAGCCTGAAAGGGGATGGAAGGGCTTTGGTGGGAAATAAATGGCACTATGTTGTTGACGGAAAAAGATCTTGGCAGGACTGTTGTTGTGAGTGTTCTGTGGCTTAGAAAGGAATTTCCTACAGGCTGGACTAACCATTAAAAATGTCTCTACCTTCAGGAGTCCCCGGCGTGCAGTAGAGCCTCGCTGGAGGAAATGGCATCCTGGACCATGGGTACCCGCAGCCTGGACAAGCGAGGAAGTTTCTTTAAGGTAAAGGAAGGCTTCATTGAGATCGCTCAGCTGCAGCTTGCTCCCTTTGCCGGCCGGGCTGCGCGGGGAGCCGCAGGGGAAGCCTGCCCTCTGAGCCAACTCTGGCTGGGGGAGCGTGCCTGAGCCCAGCTGCAAGCTGTTACCAGGTTTGACAGTGGTTGGGATTTTTGTGAGCTTTAGGGCAGGCCCAGGACCCAGGCACCAGGCACCAAAAGATGCCACCCTGTGGAAGACAGTTGAGGTGATCTTTAGTTGCCAGCCGCCCAGCTCTTCCGTTTTTAGTGGGATGGTTTTACGATGGAAGCTGGACTTTGCACTCCAGTGAATCAGGGCCGTTGATCTTGGGTTTTACACTTTGCTTGATTGTATAAATCACTTGTGCTCATTTAAAGAAAAAACAACAACAACAACAAGAAACAGAGTCCTGGGCCTCAGCCTACTGACTGTTATTTACTGGTGTATTTTATCAAATTCCCCAGAGGTCTCTTATGGTCAGACAAGGGCAAACCAAGGCAGCATGATTAAAACTGTACAACTTCTCTATGTGCGTACTGATGTTGGTGCCGTGCAATTACCTTGCTAGCTTAATGAGATGAGACTCTAAATGGATATTTTATATTCTCTGTGTGTGTATGTGTTTTCAATTAAGACTTGGTGGTCATTCCTAATTTACACTTGGAAATTAATTCCCTTCTTATGGCTTTTGCTCTGTGTCCTTCTGCCCACCCTCAAAATAAAGCATAATTGTAGAAAATTTGGAAAATACCGAATCATGTAAAAGAGTAGAAAAACGGAGGTAAAGTTTGCACTTGAAATCTGTCATAGGCAGGTGTTCAAACACCAGATCTTTCCTCAATAGGAGAAATGGTATAGAGTCCTCTTAACTTTATTACAGAGGAAAACTGACAATTTTACTAGATTTCCCACCCTAATGGGTTGTAAGTATGCATTAACTCTCATTTAAATGTGTCCTGCTTCCAAGAGACCAAACCTGATTTATTGTGTCAGTTAGAGACTCCATATGATCCATTGGAAGAGCCTGCTGATAAAAGAAAGCTAAGTTCAGTAAACTGGCCATGATAAGGGAGGACAGGGCCAGGACACAGTCCTGTTGGTGCCTAAGCCAGGGGAGGTCAGGAGGTGTATGGATAGGGTGTCGAGGTCTAGATCCATGTCCTTTTAGCTATATTTTTCAAGGCAGAGAAGTGATTGGTTTCAGCAAAGTTTGTGACATCATTGTTCGGCATTGGTGGGTACAGCAAGACAAGGGTCTTTTTTTTCTTTATTGATTAAGGTATTACATATGTGTCTTTATCCGCCCCCATTACTACCCCCCACCACCACCCTGCTCATGCCCTCACCCCCCCTCCCTAGTGTCTATGTCCATTGGTTAGGCTTATATGCAAATGGTAGGAGTTCCTGCCTTTTTACTGCAGCGTAGTATTCCATTGTGTAGATATACCACTATTTTTAATCCACTCATCTGCTGGTGGGCAGTTAGGCTGTTTTCAAATCTTAGCTATGGTAAATTGTGCTGCCATGAACATTGGGGTGTATATCCTTTCTGATTGTTTGTTTTCTTGGGTTATATTCCTAGAAGTGGGATCACTGGGTCAAATGGGAGTTCCATTTTTATTTTTTTGAGGAAACTCCATACTGTTCTCCACAGTGGCTGCACCAGTCTGCATTCCCACCAGCAGTGCACGAGGGTTCCTTTTTCTCCACATCCTCTCCAGCACTTATCATTTGTTGATTTGTTGTAAGACAAAGGTCTTGGGTCCTGGCAAGTAAATCATCATTGATATGCAAGTTGTTTTCTCAGGTGAGCAAACTGTTTTTCCAGGACTGATTTTTCTGTAAAAATTTTCTGCAGCAAACAGAAAAGTTATTTATTGGTTTACAGCCTTAACTTCCTGGGCAAGAATATCCTGGAAGAAATAGTTATGTTGACACAGATGGTCTTGATTCTCAGCCCTCATAGCTAAGGTATGTGAATGTAGCATTTGCAATTCTCAAGCAGTTTACTCAATTTGAATCAAACTTGCATAACATCCACCATCCTGAGGCCAACAAGGGGCTTCTCAAGTCTCCTGTAGACCAGGCGCTAGACCCACCAGGCTCCTGACTCAGCTCCAGTTCCAGGATTCTGTCGTAGGATGATATATTTATTGCATCCTGCTAGAAGGGAAGAACCCAACCCCCTCCTTAACCCAAAGCACTGCCTACATCAGCCTAAATACTGTCTAGTTCATAATTACCACCTTATGCTCAGGAAGTGTAGTGGGGCTGACTCTTACATAGTAGTTAGATATTAAATTCAAGACAAAATGAGAACCTTGAGTTTAGTCAAATTTGCCTTTGAAAATTCCTTAGGCAGAGGCCTTGTTGGACCCAGTTTTTCCTATAGTCCTGAGGAAAATCTCTTTTTTTTCAATTTTTAGTTGAAAAGTAGGTTAAAGGTAATTACTTTATATTTCTGGACTGTGTCCTATGAAAGAACCAAGCAATAGGTGAGAGCCCTGCTGGAACCTGCTGAGGCAAGCTCTACTTGTCTCTCTCCTGAGTTGAAGGCCCCTGAGGAAAATGTAGGCACAGTGACCTGTGCTGTTTAACTTGGGGTTGCCTGTTTTGTTCTTGGTTTTGTTTTTGTTTGCAGAGCTTCAATTTATTTGTTAGATGCTCCATGTAAATGATATTTGACCCTTGAATAACAGGGGTTTGGACTGTGTAAGTCCACTTCTATGCAGATTTTCTGCAATAAATATAGTCACCCCTTTGTATCCAGGGCTTCCTCAACCATGGATTGAAAATACTGTTTTCCATTCAAGGTTGGTTGAATCTGCAGATGCGAAGGTCCAACTGTAGAGTCAGCAATTACGTGCAGATTTTCGACTGCTCAGGGTCAGCCCCTCTAGCCCCATGTCGTTCAAGGGTCAACTGTATTTTCTTTCTTTCCTCTTCTTTATAGCCATTGTTATTCTTTACTATGATAATCCACAGTTCGTTATTATGGGACAATATTATTAATCATAATTTAAATAAATGATATTAGTTATTAATTATTTCATAATTTAGGCATGTCGTTATCTGCAAGGATGAAGTAAGCTGCCCCTTGGGCATTTCATATTGGCTCCTTAGAGGTTCATTTTTAAAATGTTAGAGTTCATTTGTTGAGATGGTTTGTCACTCAGCACATCCTGGGACCCACTGGGCCTTCTGTTATTCCTTGTGCTTTTATATTTTAAATGTTGAGCGCATTTGATTAGCCAGGCTCTGTACATGGCACAGCGGAGAGAAAAACCAGAAGCCATCCCTGACCTCACAGAGGTTTCAGTCTGGTAGCCAGAAAGATATTAATCAAATAATCATGACACTGAACCCATACTAATAAATCATAAGAGAAAACAGTGCCTCATGTAAGAAATAAAAGGGGCTTTGAGACTATATAACATAGTGCAGGGTTCCAGAGAAATCTTTCCTGAGGAAGTGGCTTTTGGTTTGAGAGCTGATATTGACTCTGTATTATCCAGGGATGTGGGTCGGGCTACATTTCAAAGAGACTCTTCAGCTGCTGCAGTGTCATTCTCCACACACACCATAAAGCATGAACATTCTCGGTCATGTCCTTGGCTCACAGCTGAATTCCACATGCTTGTTATGCTTTTCTTGCTTATTGGGGCTCCTGTGATTTTTTGTAAAGCGTAGATAACTGAAAGGCAATCATTGGGCCTCTTTTACATCAGTGTGTCCCCCCCATCCAGCTTCTGGTGTATTTAAACCAGACTTGCTAACCACTAGAAGCAAGCCTTGATTTGTGGCTTCCCATCTGTCCTGGCTCATGGAAATGACTCAGATAAGTCACAGGACACAGAGTCGTGGATAACGCACTGATTGTCTGAGCGTTCTGGGGTAATGAGAGTGCCCAAGGCTATTGTTCATGGAGAATTACACCCTGGAACCCTGGCCACAGAAATCCTGTGCTGCTGGGCCAACACATCAGAGCCCTTCCCAGCGCCATTGTTAATTTCCTCCACCACCTGTGGGAAACAGTATCTTCCTGCTCTGTAAGGTCTCTGAAAACACACGGGGGAGGCCAATGATGCTCTGGACAAGGCAGCCCATTACCTGCCCCTAAGTAAGGGGGTGGACACCTATTGCTGTCATATTTTAAGGGTGCGCTGTGTAAAAGGGATTGTGTAAGAACAACATTGCCTAGGCTGGTAAAGTTCTAGATCAGCAGTTCTCAACCTGTGGGTCGCGACCCCTTTGGGGGTCGAACGACCCTTTCACAGGGGTCGCCTGAGACCATCGGAAAACACATATATAATTGCATATTGTTTTTGTGATTAATCACTATGCTTTAATTATGTTCAATTTGTAACAATGAAAATATATCCTGCATATCAGAAATTACATGACCATTCATAACAGTAGCAAAATTACAGTTATGAAGTAGCAAGGAAAATAATTTTATGGTTGGGGGTCACCATGACATGAGGAACTGTATTACAAGGTTGTGGCATTAGGAAGGTTGAGAACCATTGTTCTAGATAGTCCTGCACTAGGGCAGAGGAGCTCAAAGTAATCTTTGATCCCTCCTTTTCCTGAACTCCACAGCTTCCTCCAAGCCACCCCTCTGCCCACACTACCCAGGTGTCCAGTGCTGGCAATACCCCTCAAGTCTCCAAAATCTACGCCCTCCCTCCCTTTCCTACATTACCTCCCTACTTGGGTTCTCATTCCTTCAGTTGTGGGCACGGATGGGCAATGCTTGTGACCCATCTGCACTGTCCCCGAACATGTGTGCTTGCTTTATCCCGAACCACGACACCCCTCACGTTACCTCCTGCAGACTCGGGCTCTGTGCTGGGCCCAGCACCAGGTCTGTACTCTTCCCTGCAAGGACTTTCAGGCTGTGCTTCCACCTTCTCCTCAGCTCTTCCTCCGAGGGTCCTCGTGGGTCTGCTCCCGCTGATGCCCACATTCTGGGCTGTGCCCAC